TTATTTAAAAATATAAAAATTGTACTTGCAAGTTTGATCTATAAAAACAATAAAATTAGTAAATAAAAAAATTGTGCAACCTAGATAGGCAACTCACTGACCCCTGACATTTGACCCTGTGCACTGCAGGAGACGCTGATGACGTCAGACCGAGCAAACGACGAGTCAAAGACAGCCAGAGAGACCGAGAGAGATGGACAGCGGTGCTGCGCTGGGACCGAGACACACCCACCTGACTGCAGCGTCACCACGGCAACCAGAGACGAGCCGCATCAGCTGGTGGACACGGATGGAAACACACACACACACACATATGCGAGACTGAAATGTCTCTGCATTGACACACACACAATGCGGAGGTGGTTTTATTGTGTCAGGTACAGTTTGATGGTTCGATAGCGAGCGAACCGAGACTCTTAACGGAGGAAAACTCAAGTGTTTTTGTTCTTCAGACAAACTTTGGGACGTGTTCTTGTTCTTTCTCCTGCTGTTTATTCTCTTTAACCTCAGCCGGTCCGCAGCGATCGTTCCTGAGCGAGACGTGCATGGGCTGAACGCAGCTGTTAACCTGTTCGCTGTTGCAGTAAAGTGACTTCCTGTGACCGTGAGAATGTCTCTCTTTGTGTCTGTGCTCTCAAACACACTCACCAGCTTGTTTTACAGCCGTCGTGAGTCGCTGAACTCGCTGAACTCGCTAACTAGTGCAGCTGATCAGAATGCAGTCGAACCGGACGCAAACACACGCCTGTGGGTGGAACAGGTAAGATCTAACCGAGGTTTCTGGCGATACGCTTGAGCCGGACACCAGGAAACGGGAACGTCTGTTTCAAGCATCTTTAAAGTCACAAATTTGATGAAGAACAACTTAAATCGCCAACGGAGGATGTTTTAGTACTAGATTTGCAGCTCATTCTGTCCAGACACATGTAAAAAAACTAAAAAATAATGTCAAAATAAAATAGTAAAAATCAAACTTAAAAGAAGGAAAAAAACAGTAAAAAAACTAAAAAATAATGTCAAAATAAAATAGTAAAAATCAAACTTAAAAGAAGGGGAAAAAACTGTAAAAATACAAAAAAATAATGTCAAAATAAAACAGTAAAAATCAAACTTAAAAGAAAAAAAAAACAGTAAAAATCCTAAAAATAAACTAAAAATCAAACTTGAAAAGAAAGGGAAAAAACAGTAAAAATCCTAAAAATAAAGTCAAAATAAAAAAAATCCTAAAAATAAAGTCAAAATAAAACAGTAAAAATCTAACTTAAAAGGGGAAAAAACAGTAAAAATCCTAAAAATAAAGTACAAATCAAACTTAAAAAGAAAGAAAAAAACAGTAAAAGTCCTAAAAATAAAACAGTCAAGATAAAAAAAACTAAAGTAAAAATAAAAAAAGTCAATTAAGTTAATTAGTTAATTGGTTTTTGAAATTTGCTTTTTGTATTATTAAATGTAGCAAAAATATAGGAATTAGAAGCATAACATGTCAGTCACATGACAATTAAGACTCAAGTGATTGGCTCAGTTCTGGAACCATGTGCCCATTAAGCAAAGATGGCTGCAACCAGGCTGTGTGCTTCCAAAGACAACTTAAGCAACTACGTTTAAAATGAAGGAATAGTGTTTAGATATGCTTGGGTTCTTTAAAGATTTGATTGTTTTGATCTATAACTTCTAAACAGACAAAAAAACAACTGACACCTAACAAGATGTGTGAGTGTTAGTTGTGACTTTTTCTCCAAACTTGCATCTGAAACTCAATCAAGAAGTCTCGCTGCTGTCCAACAGATGATCATAAATCCTGCTCTGACCTTCTGAACTTCTGGAAATCTTAAGGTAATGCCAATATTGTTTGTGCATAAATATACAGTATATATATATGATTGGTTGAAATCAGTGCTGGATAGTAACTGATCATCTTTAAATCCGTATTAAAGATTAAATGCTTTATATTGTTTTAAAATACTCTTAATTAGACTACAGTTACTTTAGTATAGATTAAATATTCACAAAATGGCAGTAAACTACTCACAATGTATTAATTCTCCCTAATAATCCACTATTTACAGACATCATTTCACTTTTAAGAAGCATTTTCTCAATATTGCATATCTAATCACCTGATGAAAATAATATTATTTAAATGATCACTCAGTGAGTCATTTAACCCTTTTAATGCTTTTTTTTTGTCAGCTGAAACGCTTTGACGTAATATATTTTTAATATATTAATATAAGTCTCCCTGAGATTTTAGGTAGATAATTAGGAATTAAATCAATAAGTAACACATTTGCATGTTCACGGTTCTCTGATGTTGGTTAATGGTCACAAGTGTTTTTATTTTAAAACTATTAACATTAAGATTTAATACATTTTTCATGAACTTACAAACTTGCTACAGTTCCTTCACAAACCTAAATTTTGGAAAGACTAATGTAGTGTTTATCTGTGTACAATTTATGTAATGAGATGTATTCTATTTTACTTTTCTATTTGTGTTTTTATATCAAAATGTTATAAAATTATTCTATATAAAAAGTTAGGTCATCTAGAAATCTAAAAGTAATCAAAGAGTAGTCCGATTACGTTACATAAAATAATATGATTACTAACTACAATTTTTGCCATGTAACTTAGTAGCAAACTACAACTTTAAGTAATCTACCCAGCACTGGTTAAATGATAGCTTATCAGTTGTTTCTATACTAGAGTCTACACATTATTAGTTAGGGTTAGTGAACATTTGTGGCCCTGCAGCACAAAAGCAGTCTTAAGTAGCATGAGTATATTTGTAGCAATAGCCAAAAATACATTGTATGGGTCAAAACTATAGATTTTTCTTTTATGCCAAAAATCATTAGGATATTAAGTAAAGATCATGTTCCATGAAGATATTTTGTGAATTTCCGACCGTAACTATATCAAAACTGAATTTTTGATTAGTAATATGCATTGCTAAGAACTTCATTTGTTCAACTTTAAAGATGATTTTCTCAATATTTTGATTTTTTTGCACCCTCAGATTCCAGATTTTCAAATAGTTGTATCTCAGCCAAATATTGTCCTATCCTAACAAACCATACGTCAATGAAAGCTTATTTATTCAGCTTTCAGATGATGTATAAATCTCAATTTCACAAAATTGACCCTTAAGGCTGGTTTTGTGGTCCAGGGTCACATTTAAGACGTGTTCCTCAGCAGTCCTAGTTTGCGTAGTGCATCACGTCTGGCCTCATCTGTGGCTCCTCTGCCAGAAAACTGCACCGTTACTCCCTGAGTGCGGAAGGAAGGCTTTGGCAGAGATTTGCGGCGTAACTCCGGGGACAGCGGAGCGGGGCGCGACCTGGCAGGACTCAGCAGACTTTGGTGCCGCGATGGTTTTGAAGCCGGAGCGGGCGGCTGCTTCACGGGTGCTTCGGGGTGCAACGCTTTTCTCTTGGGTAAGTCTTCATTTGAAGTCCTGTTTGAGCTGGTGTTTTCCTCTTTTACTGGGGTGATGGTCTTGGTTTGGGTGCGATGGTTTGGCTGGGATGGAGTCATTACTCGCGATCTGCCGCCGAAGTTGTTGATCTGAATCTCCGAAGACTCTGTTTTGGGCAATGAAGATGAGACGCACTCGCTCCTGAAGGATGTTGTTGGGTTTAATGTGATGCTCTTACCGCCATAGCTGTTAAAATCACTGTGCGTGACTTCGGCACTTGTCAAAGTTGGTGCAGGGCTAGATTTGGTTTGGCGGTGGTCTGTAGTGTCTATCGTGCGGACGTCGCCGCTAGCGTTAGCTGGATTGGTAGTGTTGAACGTGGTGCCGGTCTTGGCGCTTTCCAAATCCCTCGGAGATGAATGCATGACGGATTGCCTCTGAGTGAGTCCGACTTTCGAAAGCGCCTCCATCCTATTGGATCCTAGCCGGACATGTAAAAAAACACAGAGTTTTAGTTCAATTCAATTACACATTATTGTTGGAATTTCTTCCATAATTTGTTTTGCATCTCAAAGCGTGTCCCACATCAGTTCACATCAATACACTTACACCAATTTAAACAAACAAACAGTAAACACACCTTAATGCAAAAACCAACAATACAAAAATATATACACACACCACCAGAATGCATTAATATAGTAGTTCTTTCTATTTTACTGAACCCAGAGGCCTACTTTAATTTTACAGACTGATAAACAAAAGATTTACGTGTTCTGTTCAATCTGGTATATGCAACTCTAAGCCCTCTGATATTCCTCATAGACAGACATAATTTTTTCTGACAGGTTCAGCATTTTTTTTTATTTGTATACAGATCTTGAAAACTTGGCTCTAAGCACTTGGCCCACAATTTTAGAACAAATAGAACAGAACAAATAGTGCAGTTTTACTTATTTAATTATATTGATTTAATTATAAATTATTTAATTTATAGGTAGAAATTAAATCTGGTTTTAAAGTATTTCACTTGAATATTATAAATATTAATATTTAATGGATTTAATGTGATGCTCTTACCGCCATAGCTGTTAAAATCACTGTGTGTGACTTCGGCACTCGTCAAAGTTGGTGCAGGGCTAGATTTGGTTTGGCGGTGGTCTGTAGTGTCTATCGTGCTAGCGTTGGCTGGATTGGGAATGTTGAACGTGGTGCCGGTCTTGACGTTTTCCGAATGCATGACGGATTGTGCTCGCCTCTGAGCGAGTCCGAGCTTCGAAAGCGCCTCCATCCTAGACTTGTCTGGCGTCGGATCTCGAAACGAAATGCTCCGCATGGGAAGGTTGCGCACGCAGGCCGGTTCTCCGCCATCCAAAGGGTGCGCCGGGCCAGAGAGGTTGGCGAGCATCTGCGCCCGGCGCTCCTGAACGCTGACAGCCTCAGTGGCGATCGAGTGGGGAATGTGTTCACGGCTGCTCCGCAACATGCTGATGCTGTCGGGAACACGCGTGGGCTTGGCGTGAGTCGGAGGGCCGTGTTTGGCCGAGGGGTTCGGCGGCGACTCTAAACTGCATCTGCGCTGGAGCAACTGTGATGCAGATGTGCCGGTGGCGCCCTGGTGCTCGGCGATCTTGCTGGCGATTACAACCGGGGTGGGAACTGAACCTGCGGGCGGCTGGTGTCCAAATTCCTCTTGCGGCCCGTCTGGGACGTCCCGGTCACGTTTTGGCTTCAGTTCAAAATGGGTCTCTGGGGGTATAATCAGCTCTTGGAAATCTGACAAGGCAAACACATTTACAATTGCGTTAATGGACCGCTGATGGTGCAAAAACGTAATCGTGTAGTGACAACACAATGTATAAATGTGACCCTGGAGCACAAAAGCAGTCATAAGTAGCACAGGTATATTTGTAGCAACAGCCAACAATACATTGTATGCGTCAAAATCATCGTTTTTTCTTTTATGACAAAAATCATTAGGATATTAAGTAAAGATCGTGTTCCATGAAGATATTTTGTACATTTCCTACCGTGAATATCAACATTTTTTATTAGTAATATGCATTGCTAAGAACTTCATTTGAACAACTTTAAAGATGATTTTCTCAATATTTAGATTTTTTTGCACCCTCAGATTCCAGATTTTCAAATAGTTGTATCTCAGCCAAATATTGTCCTATCCTAACAAACCATACATCAATTTTTTTAAATTGACCCTTATGACTGGTTTTGTGGTTCAGGTTCACAACAATATGACATCTAAAGAAATTTCTTTTAAGAAATGTAATTTAAAGGTGTCAATTGCTTTACTGGCGAAAATATTGGGTCTCATTCACTATGTGTGAATATGCACAAATCTGTGTGTGTGTGAATTCAGCATATTTATGAAAACAAGTGTTTTCATAAATACTTTTTAATTATTTTACTTTTCATTAACTTTCATTAATATAAATATAAATACTGTATATTTCATCATCAGCTGAATGCAACAACCATGTAGAGAGATAACTAAAAAGTGCTGTCAAACAATTAATCGCATCCAAAATAAGTTTCACATAATATGCGTGTACTGTATATATTTATGTATATATAGACACACACATACAGCATATATTTTGAAAATATTTACATGTATTTATGTGTATACATTTATATTCATATAAATTATATGATATTTAATATATAAATGTAAAAATTTTCTTATGTATTTATATATACATATTAGAATGATTTGTGAAGGATCACGTGACACTTTATACTGGAGTAATGATGATGGAAATTCAGCTTTGCATCACAGAAATAAATTACATTTTAAAGGATATTAAAATTGAAACCATTATTTTATATTGTAATAACATTTTGCAAGATTACTGTTTTTTCCTGCATTTTTGATCAAATAAATGCAGCCTTGAGCATAAGAGACTTCTTTAAAAAACATTACAAGTCTTACTGACCCCAAACTTTTGAGCGGTAGTGTATGTATAACTGTCACAGTATGCAAATGATACACATACAATTCCCTGAAAACCTACTACATCTGCTAAACAACTTCATTTTGTGCATTTAGTCTATGGTAAAAACTGCCAAACGTGGAGATGCATGTTTTTCATTGGATTGTTTACATTTTTAAGATGACAACTGGGCCTCACCTGCTGAATACAGCATGCACTTGAAGTCATGTGACAGCAATGCTTTATTATAGAACTTTTATCGTTGCATAATGCATTTTGTTTTAAAAATAGAAGCACTATATGTGACCCTGGACCACAAAACCAGTCATAAGGGTCAATTTTTCGAAATTGAGATTTATAGACCATCTCAAATCTGAATAAATAAGTTTTCCATTGATGTATGGTTTGTTAGGATAGGACAATATTTGGCTGAGATACAACTATTTGAAAATCTGGAATCTGAGGGTGCAAAAAAATCTAAATATTGAGAAAATCATCTTTAAAGTTGTTCAAATGAAGTTTTAGCAATGCATATTACTAATCAAAGATTAAGTTTTGATATATTTACGGTAGGAAATTTACAAAATATCTTCATGGAACATGATCTTTACTTAATATCCTAATGATTTTTGGCATAAAAGAGAAACGTATAATTTTGACCCATACAATGTATTGTTGGCTATTGCTACAAATATCCCCCAGCGACTTAACACTGCTTTTGTGCTGCAGGGACACATATAGTGTGTGCTGTGGCTTTACTAACTTTTCAAAGCACAGCTTTTTGCATGTTTAGGATGAGGTTTTATGATGATTAAAAGCAGAATTGGAATGTTTTCTGTGGTTTATATTGAGTTGTTGTTTTTTTGGATACCTGGCATGACGGGCAGCGTGTCCCTCTGTGTGCTGGGATGGGCTGTAGGGTGCACCAGGTCAATGATGTCTTGATCTACAGGGCTGGGATGTCGAGCGTATGAGTCCGGACGCTCGCCTGCAGATATTCCCGTCCTCTCATCGTCCTCCTCCAGAGAGCCGATGGTCTCCTCAAAGAACAAAATACACTCCCGCTCCTCCAGACTGAGGAACTGCAGATCACCATCCTAGAGAGAGAGAGACAAGCGTCAAGTAATGCACACTATGTTTTTGAAAGAAGTCTCTTTTGCTCACCAAGGCTGCATTTACTTGATTGAAAATGCAGTAAAATTGTGAAATATTATTGTAATTTAAAATAGCTGTTTTCTATGCAAATATATATTAAAATAATTTATTGCTGTGAATTTTCAGCATCATTCCTCCAGTCTTCAGTGTCACATGATCTTCAGAAATCATGCTAATATACTGATTTGCTGCTCAAGAAACATTTCTGATTATTATCAATGTTGAAAACAGTCGTGCTGCCCAATATTTTTGGGGAAACTTTTTTTTTTAATCTTACTTCTACACAACTTTTGAATGGCAGTGTATCACTATTCCCGCAAAAATATGAAGCGCAGTGAACTTGAGAACTAAAATAATATATAATATATAATAAAAACATATATATATATATATATATAT